CACGGACACGGTACACATAATATCTGTCTTGGTTGTGTTTATTCTTATCTCTGCATAGACATTCGAACATGGGAAGCCCTGGTTGGCCCATGTTAGCCCTGGATAGCCCTGGTTAGCCCGTTCTAATAGAAAAAATGACACAAAACAAGTACATGCATTTGGGTAAGATAATATAGAGGGTGCAACAATGTTTGTGTACAATGATGATCGAGGAGCGGCATGTATTTCCGACAGTAAGGGATTATGAAATTTCGCAATGGAATTTGGTGTCTAAATAATCACTCTTTATAAGGATCAGTTATCTAATTATATGAATTACTCATTTAACTAAAAGATTAATTTAAAAGGTGGTGAAACAGACTCCCTACCGTCCTTTATCCGGCCATCATTTGGTACTGATTTTCTGCGTTCCGCTCACGCGGCCTGACAATCGTCTCGCTCTTCCGATAAAGTTAACTTTTCGCAACAGCTTGCGGTGAAATGCTCAGAGATGAATTCCATGTCCTCCTAATCTCTACACACGCATGCAATGATTTGGTCATGACCTTTGCCACATGCCAAGTAAACAGACTAGTAAAAACTACCTTACCCACTAGACTTGCTACCGACCTGGCCGTTAGGTATTACTTGGCTTGGCGATATTTTCAATACCTTGTTTTATAGCAGTAATTCGCCTGTAGGGAATTCCGATAGTACCTAAACTGAGATTGATGCCATATCCAGCCTTTCCAAATTGTCTAATGGATCCCAAATGCTTTTCTGAACATGGGGAGCAAATCTAGACCGGATGATGTCTGATTGAACCTATTCGGTGTGTTCTTGTGCTTTTTGTCGTGTAGATGCAAACCCAAGCCCATCGTCAAGAAAGACTACGATTGATTTACCTTCGCCCCTCCACTTCTTCACTAGGCGACGAATCACGTTGGTGAAAATATAAGGTGCATTTGATAGGCCAAACGGCAACTGCTTTAATCGATAAAGAGACAATGATTTCCTTTCCCAGAAATTCCCGATGATCGGGTGGACAAATAGCTACATAGTGGTAGCCTTACTTTAAATCGAACTTGAACATGTACTCAGCTTTCTTGAGGGAGTTTAAGTTTTCGCACTTTACTGATTGGTTTTGAAGGTATTTATTGACCAGTCTCAATCTATGATGAGTCATTTCGTGAAGTTGGTCTGGATAGATACTGTCAGCGGATTCACAACTTCAGGCTAACTCTGGCACACTTCTGCAGTGCCTACCGATACTAATTCAGAAATATCTGAAACAAAACCACTGTTTTCTAGCGCTGATTTGTTATTAGTGGACAACATTTCAGAAGGCTTGCAGGTCAACGGCAATACATAACCTTCGCTTACTACATGAAGACACATTCTGGTGGGTGCAATATATCCCCAAAGGCCGTATGCTTTTTAGGACGACCCACAACCCTTATGGAACAGGCGGATGGGTTTTCTTCATATTCATAGTAATCGTCAACAACATGAGATTGAATAGTTCCAGAAGACAACTCGGAGTCGTACTTAACTTTACTGGCTCAAGCCTGCACATCCACTTTGGTCTTTGTGCTTGGGGCAGGTGGCCCTCCAATGAAAGAAGATCAGGCACACGAAACGCGATCCTCCGAAACTTCGAAGCTTGTTGACCTGGGCACTGTAATATTGGGCCTGCTCAGAGGGACTAAAAGTAGAAGCAGGGCGTTCATTGGAGCTCTTCAACTTCTTAGCCTGCTTGACTGCCATCTCTGCTGCCCTCTTCTGCCTAATCTTTCTGGCGGCTCATCTTTCTGCTCGGATAGTCTTGTTTTCATCATCCTGGTCTACGGCCAGCTCGTGCTCCTCATGCTCCGTAACCGTGGCCCAACAATATGTGCTGGAATCAGCCATGTGAACAACTTCTGTCGCTTGTTGATGGTAGAGGTGGCATTGGGAAACGTTGCTTTCACGACCGACAAGGAAGGGTTGTCAGCCCCTAACTGGTCTACTGCAGTTTGAATCAAGTCTTTGACTTGCCTATAAAATAACAAATAATTATAAGCATATTCGTGAATAAAATCCGGTTGAAGCAGATACCGACAACGGAAGTAAAGGATTCTGATCTTTATAAAATAAAAAGCTTGCCTAGCCTGTGTCGGTCCAGCCTGAACTGAATCTCCTATAATCTTCGCACCCTGCGAGGGTGTTACATGGGCCGCTACACATTTCACCTCCGCCCCTTCCACAGCTGTACATTCCGCCAATTTTGCCAAAATCATCTTTTTCCTCGAGTTTCGAAAAGATTTTACTCTGGCCCAGCTAGCGAGACTTTTGTTACCATAGCTGAGCACCATTCTATTGTTACGGTGATTGGAGAAATGACCTCTTGTTGAAGCATGGACTGGATCTCCTTTTCCTTGTGGGGTAGTGGGGGCACTTTCCATTGTATGTTTAAAATTCTTGAAAGATCAGTTACCCCTAATGAGCCCACTATGGTCTCTATCAGGAACTGAATCTTTTTGTTTACAGACATGTGCTGACTGGTCGCGGCTGTTTGGGTTGTGACCTGGTATTACTTATACTTTCACAGTAGCCCGGTGAAGTGTAGTTAGATGGGACCTGGGGGTGTATTAGCTACCATAAAACAGTTGTACAGGTTCACCCAGGACCGGGAACTGACCAGTGATGAGAATCTCCATGTAGTGACAACACCCTTGGTTTTTGGGCGTGGTTGCCCCGAGGGATAAGCATGTCGTATAGTGTCAAAAGTTTCGCCCAGCCGGTGAATAACCCAGGACATTCTGCTCTGATGTTGGAATTTGAGCTTTGTTTCACCTCGTTCATTCTTGCCACTAGGCGTAGGTCGACACGTGCTCGTTTGCTGAGTAACAAACATCTTTGGTTCTGAATGGCGTATTAAAAGGTCGGTCAGTTATCTCCTTCAGGCAATACTGCAGCTTTGCCGTCAGCATACCACACACTGGAAGTGGGTACCACCTGGACCACGGAGGGACTGATTTGTTTCCTTTAGTTGTACTCCGGCCAGCCATGGTTCTGTGTCACTGATGACAGACACTGTCGCCCCGGTGTCGAGCATAAAATGGGTATTGTGTCTATTCATGGCGATGTGTGCACTCCAGTAGTCGTCGTTCCCAAAGATTTCGCCAATGAACGGAAGGTCGTCTTCTGTAATGTCCTCCTCATCGTGGACTTTTGTAGAGCTGCGTTTTGATGCAGGAGCACTCTAACTGTCTTTAAGTGGCCTCATTTCTGGCACTTGTTACACACGGCTTCTTTGGCAGGGCAGTGCAGGCGGGAATAACATTTTCGGCCACACCATTTGCATATTCCGGTGGCGGAATCTTGTCTGGGTTGTTTGCCTGCTGGTGCTAACGTTTTGGCTTTTGGCTACGGGGTCTAGGTTGGGCAGGTTTGCGTTTGTTGACCTGGTTAACACTTTGTACCACCCTTCACAATGTCACGGTTTTCCTTTTGTGACTGGTCTTGGTGACATGGACCACTTTGTCGAGTGTCAGGTCTGCTTTTGACTGTAAGGTGTCAGTTTGTCATCCAACACTTCCACAACTATTGTGTCCCTGATGAGACTTTCACTGAACTCCTCATCTTGGCAGTTGGCAGATAACGACATCCAGTGGCTCGCCCCACATTTGTTTATGTTTTTAAATCGAGCTCTCCCTTCAGTCACATTTTGTCTGCCTTTGTAATGTTCATTTAGGGCCCTCTTGACTCGATCATACGTTGCTGATTCCTTGTTGACTTTGAAGAAAATCTTCTGATTCACAGTCACCCATAGAATGTGCTCAACTGTTCCTGGTCTGGCTATCCATTGAGTCCAGAGGGGATCCGATATCGTCCAAAACGCCTGATCCATTTAAGCCACAATACGCAGTGGTTTGGCCTGTTTCCAACTTCAATCGTGCCTGGCACAGGGATTTAAGTCATTAGTTAAATGGTCACGATGTGGTTTTGTATTCTAAACCGCTGCCACTATGTAATATTTGGGTGGAATTGACAGACATTGTGCGGAGGGTGCTTACTTATACAATGTTACTACTTTATTCCAAGATGGCTGCTTCCATGTACCCTTTCCATGAGATTACACCAGTAGTCAAGAGAGGGTGCTCTAACAGATATCTGGTCAAGGCATATTCCTACGATTACTTGGCCACATAAGCGAGATATTGACTGTGCGGTTCAAACGTTGCCTCGTCGACGCAGAACGATTGGTGACTTCCTCCTGTTGCGGATACTAGACCTATGTGGTGTATAAAAGCGTTCAACGCTGGCGTAGAAAATGAGTACGATTATCTCTGTTTCCCATGTAACAATCGTTTTAAATTTTCCACTAAATAATCTTCCACCGCTGGAAATGGTAATATTGCGCCCATCAATGTCTTGTGATCGAATGCAACACGTACGTACCAGAGTTGCATTGTGTTGCCTAAGTATCAGGCTTCTGGTAACATGGACTTACGGACTTTCAATTTTAAAATACTGTTCACACAGGACGTGACATTGTCGGTCAGCAATTTGTAAAGTAATCGAGATACACGGGTTTGGGTGACAGTCAAAGGGACAGCTGGTTTATTGCTCTCACTTCTGCTCTTACTTCATTGAAGTTCATAAGTGGTTTTCGAAGGTGTAAATTAACATAATAGTGCAGCACATGAGATGCAAAGTTAGAGAGGTGTAAAGGCGAAGTTGTATACAACTAAATACAGCTTGGCACAGTGAAGTATCCAGCGGGGGGAATCATGCAGATTCCGAGCTTAATATCCCCAAAACAGGAATCGGGAAAAAAGTGGCATTTGGCTGCCATACTATCAAGCCAACTGCGGAAACGGCCATTTCTGAAGTCTCCAAAATTGAGCTGTGCCGGTGTAAAAGATTTGCGTTTGCATTGCCAAGACTGCCAACTATTTAGTCATTATGCAGAGATCACTGTGTCATATACGTTTCAAGCAAACTGTTGGATTGAGTATTTTTGTTTTGTTTTGCAGCGGAGTGACCAAGGCAGTGATTAAACATGTTCCTGTGTGTCCTTTACAGTGTGCTAATGGTTCAGAGCTTTGTGCTCCAGGCAAAACCACGTAAGTAATTATCAACAAAACGTAGCAGTGACTTTGTCCCTTTAGTTTGCATTTTATTAGGGATCCTGAAAAATAGAGCACAATAGCGTCCCCACAATTGATAATCGTACTCAAAGCATCATGTCTAAACAAGAGAGGAACAAAGAGGATCCATATACACCCACTTGTATGAATGTCGGGGCGACGGTGACGGAGCTTCCAAACACTCTTTTGGGGCCTCTTGGCGTCAATTAGGATAGCAAGCGTTACCTCTCCAGCGAACAATACGCCTACTATTAAACAAAAAATCATTGTGTTTAATGTTGAGCACAGTTTATGATTGAAAGATTAAGGACAGTAGCACACATACCAGAGTTGTAATGAGTACTAGTTTTTGTGACTTGAGTCGAGTCGAATGAAGTTTCTTGTCACCTTACACTGATTTATTATCAAGAACATCATCATCAAAATGTAACACTGCGGATAAGGGTAACAGCATCGAAGATAACGGCTTGGCTACGAACTCACAAAGCTACGAGTCGACCCACACGAACACAAGCATAATTAAAACATGTAGATCGTGTCAACTTGTGCCTGCGTAACACACTACATAACAAAGTTATTGTAACGTAATGACTTGAGTTGAGTTTCATTGTAACGCAGTGACTCAAGTCGAGTAATTGGGCAAAAATTCGAGTCGAGTTAAGTATTTACTCGAGTCCATTCGAGTTACCGAAATTTGAACACCATAAAATAAATAAATCAAGCGAGAAAAGTCATTTGAACATTTTTAATTGACATCAAGGTTTCTACATGTGCCAACACAACACGTTACTCTTGATGATAATAACATGGCAATTTCTAAACCGGAAATGGAAGTCATCGAAATGGTATTTTTTTTTGCACAGCAATTTGCCTTTTTTGGAACAGTAGTCTTATTAATTTGTCGTGAATTATCAGGTTTTTGTCATTCAATTGAGGGTTTCTAAAGGGGGCGGGGGAAATACTTACATTTCCGGAAGTGAATCTCTGGTTTAACAAATAAACACTGCGGCTGATCCCATGACAAGGGGCTGTCCGACAACTGTGTCCAGTAACCTGCATATAACTTCTCCTACCCAGGGACTTTGCCAAACGCTTCCCGCTTGATCAAACAACAGATCCCAAAATACAAGTATTATTTTGGTTCCCACCCAATACATATGAAAGAAACAGATCAGAACGCTCCTCCGGTGGCGCACGGCTTGAGGCCATTCGTTCTCGGCCAGCAACATCATTAAATGGCGACAAACAAATATAGATAACTGTCCGTTACATTGTTTTTCACTCAAGTTGGGTCTTCTGATGAAGGACGTGAGTCGAGGTATTTGCGTCTGAGTGTCTGAGTCGCATCGAGTCAATTAGCTGTCCCAGACTCGAGTCGAAACAAGATGCGAAAAGATAGCGTCTAAGCTGGGACAAGTCATTAAAACTCTGACACAGACGCGTTGCATTCGATCACAAGAGAGTTAAAGGCACAATATTACCGTTGCCAATGGTGGAATTTTTTCCTGGAAGATTTAAAACAATGGGCGTATGAGAAATGGAAATTATCGTACTCAAATTATACCCCAACGGCGAGCACTGGGATACGCTGTCAGTACTTACGGCTAGTGTGCGCAACAACAGCGAATGAATAAGCGTTTTGCCTCGACGAGGGAGCGTTTCACTGCAGAGCCAATATATCGTCTACATGGTCCTGCTTATTTCTGTGAAGTTCAGTTTTCTGAATACGCCTTTTGTGAGTTAAATTCAAATAAAATCTCGTGCACTGAGGTCTTTTGATTCCCGTGAGCATAAACATCTGAATTATCCATACTTTATTACACAATATTGCCATACGTTACGATGCGGGCAAGCATTTGCTTTGTTACATAAGAGACGCCTTGTACCAATACACTGTTTTCAATGGACAAGAGGGCACAAAGGAAAAACTCCGTCCATTCCAGGGATGGCAAAAGCTTGACCCGAATCACTGAGTATAGGGACAATGTTTTTAGTGTGGAAATTTTGATTATTATGTTTATGTGTAATCAGATATCGCATTGTACAACATTTATTGCAAGCCACAATTATGTAATAGTTTAATTTGTTAAGTTACTTCTATAACAACGCTAAAAATCTCAAAACATTGGTAGCTTTCACAATAAGATGCTGTGGTTCAGTAAAAATGATGAGTTGATCCACACTCGTGTATTAATTATTACGCTTAAAGCACAAACGCGAATTCTCTGTCAGCACACATTTTCCGCAAGTATCCCGATGGGTTCCCACTCCCCCAATCCTCCTTTTGATTTCAAACGGGGAACCATTTCTTAGGGGGATAACTCAAGGGAATTCGTCCAGGAAAATTCATATTACAGATGAAGTGCATATTCCGCATGCATACGGTTAGTAATCAAAAACAGAGCTTATTAGCACAAATGGACGGTATAGGATTCGTGTGCGGCATCACAGTATCAAATGAATTCCTGCAAGGCAGTTAAACGAAGGAGAGGGAAACCGATGTGAAAACCTGGGAGCATTTTTTAAAAATATAATACTGAGATTGTATGTTCTTGGCAATCAGCACTCTCGTTAGGTATGCCATTAAAAGTGGGCTGCATCGATCAAATGCTGCGTCGTATAGCTTTATTCCTGGAGGACAATGTTTGTTATTATAACACCGCACATCACCCACAAATCCCGTTCTTTGAATGGTCAAGAGCTAGACACTTGACATTTCTTTTCTTAGCTATCTTCTAATGCACAGAAAAGAACTACACCCGTATAACGACCAAAGTAACATACGTGTGACCACCGGCATTGTATGCAAATTCATACTATTGTGCAAGTTATGCATTGGTAGTACAAGCTGAAAGACTAATGCTACAGCGGTGGATTTGAAGATTTGTAAAGACTAGTTTTGAAAAGTGCTGGAAAATTTCAACAAATATTTAAAAGTAGTTTCGATCAAATTAAATCACCTTTCACTTAAAATCAAACAATTTTATGAGAGTGTTGTTATGAAGCAGCTTTCCCCTGTTTTTCTCTCATATTGTAATAAAACTAACCATACCTCAGCGATCCATGAAGGGTTCAATTTTCCCTCGCCGAAACAGTCTATGTTATAAACGTTGGAATAATACTACACATGAAAGTAAAAAGCCCCTTATTGGTTTTATTAAGTTTGTCTGGTATTTGCTGGTAATATTAGTGGAATAGCGGAATACAAAGTGGAATTCCATTTCGATATTTTAGTTTGATACTAAACTCCGTGAAGTCAGTGTAGGTTTTCGACTTGTAGAGAGGGTCGATACTCCTTACGATGTTGCAGTAAAGTCACGTTTTACAACTCCTTTACTCACAGAATCCACGTATCAGTGCAGCAACATCTCTCTGGTAGACCTTAATGAGACCGTGCCAGTCTCTACTTTGGCGGGGAATGGCACAGCGTTTATCAATGGTGGAACATCCACGGACTCGTATTTCTGCTGGAATATAACAACTCATGATTGGTGGCAAATTCAAGCAACATGCCAATACAGGCAAACAGTCTCTGACTCCATGCTGCACCTCTATCTAAGCGATAAGCCCAACTTGCCCCATCGGTTGTGGTCGTTCTTTGGTAACTACATCAGGTGGAATCCTGTCGAGATCTATTCTTCGGGAATCCTTCTGATGTTCGCCAGAATATCCAACCAAGGAACGTTTATGACCTGTGAGATTCGACCAGTAACAGACAAAAATGGTAAGGCTTACTATTTCTTTATGGTTCCTCAATCTGCTTGCACGAAAGAAGATTCCTGAACAAAGATGGGCTTTTTCATTTGATTTGGAGCAATTTCTCTCCCCTAATGTTGATTGTTGTGACCCAGTGTGACCAAACGCCTCGTTTTGGAAATCATGGAAGTTGTGGACAATAAATATTACCAAATTTGCATTTTATGTGTATATGAATATCATATAAATACATGGCTCGTAATTTTTTTATCCTAGAAAAATTATTTTTAAACCTAGAAAAGGTATATATTATCTGGAATTCAAAGACGCTGATAAATTGTCATTATCCTTGCACATTGGGCTTGGATCATCTGGACTTTCTCTAAAACCTGAGGCGAGCCCGATGCTACAAAATCAAGTGCAAACGGCTAAACATAATAACGATATTGTCCCAATTGGGACTTATTTTACTCCTGCGTCGAGATGTTAATTTGATAACAGGTTTTTCCCTTACCCGACGTATGTATTTATCAACACTGTATACTAAGTGCTTGCCCGAGAGCATGCAAAAAGATCCACTGGCTTACCCGGGTGGGACTCGAGCCCACGACTTCCAAGCTTACTAATGCAGACTTAACTACTCGGCCACCGAGCTCGCCGTGATTGGCAGGCCGTTCCAAGTCAGATGTAGTAGTGGGTATACCGCAAATTATTTCAAGATGTAGGCCTACTTTGCGCCGGTAAGATGTTAGTTTCAGTTACAGGTTTTGCTCTTACCCGACGTATATTAAAATATACAAACACCGTATACTCAGTGCTCGTCCAAATAGTATGCGGTACCTGCTGCCACATCGTATATGACCCCGGCAATTTTTTCAATTCAATTCAACATCGACATTTCTTTCCGTATGGTTATGTATGGAATATGACAAAAATACGTATAGAAAAAATAAAGCAGACAAAAAGAAAAAGCTGCATGGCAATAATGGAATAGCAATATCCAGAAGATCAGGTGGTCGGTTGGTCTTTTGTTTGTTATTGAATCAATTGCACTGTCCTTTTTGGACAGAGGTGTTGCAACGGTGTGGATTTTTTTCTGGGGGGGGACAAAAAATTGTTCTAAATGGTTTTAAATTCCTGTATGGATGTCCTATGCACCCTCAAAGCATTAAGTCCGCAAAGGAATCGCAGAAAAGGGTATTAAATTTGTACCCAACTGATGTTATATCTTTCAATAACAAGTCACATGCAATGGCCTTAGACTTTGCTGCCAAGGCATGTCTGGAATAACCTAGGCACGTGCCTTCTGGAAAGCCAAAAAGCTTCAAAGAGGCTCTGACAGCTTCAGAAGGTCGTTTATGGGTCACAGGCAAGGCCTGGGAAAGCCAGGCAGCCGTTGATGTATACAATCCTTGATGTCCGCCATTTGGAAGATGTTTTGTACACATTGCCATGGGAATCGGCCAGACTCAGGCTGGAGTATGTATTTTTTCTGGTTGAGGGGAATCCCCTATTTTTACAGTGATTAAACAAGGCTTTTCAGCATGAACAGAGGTAGAATATCACAGAAAGTTATTATAGTTGGCCGTACTTTTTTTAATCAAGAAATTAACAAAAATGCTGTCCATTTACTCTACTCGGTTAAGACGTCTGATAGTAGACATGCGGTTGGGGGTGTCGAGTCTAACCCGAGTGGACTTGTGTTTTTGTTGTTGTTGTTGTTGTTTTGCAAGTTCTTGGGCATGCACTGAGAATACATAAACTGGGTAAGGGCAAACACTGTAATAAAAACTGACTAACCCAAGATTACGACAGGATACCACCAGCTGGATATTAACCCCCGAAATCGGAAACTACCAACCATAATCACTAAGCCACACGCTCTCACAGGGCCATGTGCTAAACTACGGCTAAATTGATGAACTTTCAGGTTGCAAGCTTGTGGAAATTACAATTTTTCATCAAAGATTCCACCTGGTTTTAAATCTTCGAAAATGCAAAAAGCTGTACTTTCTTCTGGGGCAGTCAGTGTCTGATAACGCAATATCAACACTCAGCTGTTTAAACCATCCCATGGAAACCCATAACACTTGTCAATATAAAAACTTAAAGAAGAATGCCACATGACAACTCAAGCTTGACGTTGTAATTTAGTCTCTGTTCTAGCTTTCTGACCGTGTTTGTGGTATTCTCCACTTTTCATAGTGGGGCCTTCGAATGCCACAGTCGAGTCCATCCAACGTCCAGTCTCAAATCCTTTCTCAAGACCAATCACTGCAACCAGTTGCAGGTCGTCCAAGGCTAAGAATGTCGGGTTGCAGTTGATATGAACGGTGATTTCAAAAGGACACACGTGTGATGTGCCTGTGACGACGAATGATGGACTAGACTACAGTTTGTTTTTTTATGAGTCCCACTGACGGATCGCATTTGATGAAATTAAAAAGTCCTCATTGCATTTAGCTGTGACAATCAATGTCCACCTTTTGTTTGCAGCGGAGCGACTCTGTGGCCCCCAAAATATCAGCCTAACTGACCAGCGCCTTATTAGCGTCTCCATTCCTGGTAACCACTTGAGCGTGCAGTGTTTGTGGTTGATTACCAGCCCATCTGAGGCAATCGTTTTCGTGGATGTGTTGAACGTAAACCTTCATTATAATCAACGATTTGTCTTCGGGCAAGGTCACAATAGTGCCAATGAATCAACTGTATTTGGAGAGATAAACAACAGTAATGAAATGTTCCAGACAGGCTCTTCACTTTTCTCTATCGGGGCCTACCTTTGGATTACATTCACTTCTTCTCTCCACAATGACGAGAACAACCCGCCGACACAGCAGCTCCTTTTGCGGATAGAGAACTACACTGGTACAGGTAAGGATTTTGGGCGCATTTACTGGGAACTCCACTTTGCTGGTTCACATATGACAATGAAAGGCCTGCGCTGCAGTCGCATCGCTGCCAACAAATGAACACTGCCAACTAATAATCGTTCTAAGCCAACATGGCTGAGGGTATGCCTCTCCTCAAGGTGAATAGACCCACCATTTATTCAATACGACCTACAATACTACCAGCCCTGCGACTCACAAATGGCGTTTCTGATCGAGGGGTATGGAATAAACAATTATACTTCCTCTTCTCAGAAATCCTCTCATTTAATGAGCTTAACGTGCGCCAATGAGCACAGAAATTCCACTCAAAAGACTAATGTGATATTTTAGCACTTGAAGACCTACATTTGTGCACTTCTTGGTGCTCGTATAGTGACTACACATGCCATTCTGATTTAGCACCGGCACTGTGCTACCGTAGAGCACTCAACAAGAGCTAAACCAAGACACTTCAGGAGTAAAACTAAAACACTTAAACATACTACTGTCCTTGGAGGTGCTACGATAAGTAACACCCTCAAGAGCTACACAAAAGCACTTCAGTTGCTTCTGTAACTTAAGGCGCTGAAATATGGATAAATATATATCAAGAGCTAAACTAAGACACTTCAGTTGCAATTTGAAAGAACTCACAGGACGCAAACAAAATCACTTAGCAAAATATGTGTATGTTTCACTTTGAAACGCAACTTTATTATCAAAACAATGAAAGAGCTAAGACGTTTGGCCACAACACATGAACCTCAAAACGAACAAACGTCTTTTTTCACCCCGCAACCCCCCCTCTGTATGTGCCTCTAAACTTTGAAACTGATGGCTGAAACAAAATCAAGATTACTTGTGATTTGTATCTGAATTTGGTTGGAACAGATTGATTGATTGTTCTGTATCAAAACTGTTCGATAATACATTCAAGCACACGAAATCAACTGGACTTTTGTAGAAGTTAAAAAAAATCACTGAATATCATAGTTTCAGTGATTTAAAACTGATGAACACCGAAACAACAACTGAAACCTAGGGAACAAGATATACAGTACTTCCAGCCGTCAAAGTCACTTTAGGCACTAACCTGTCTTTAGCACATGTCACAAATACTTGTCAGAAAGGACCTAAACTGCTCAGGAAATTTCCACCCCATCCGACTACCCACCGCTACTTATAAGCAGGGTTGCTCACCAAATACGCCTTGCTATGAGTAGGTCGGTATCATAGAATCGTAGCCACACTTGTAAGCTAGACCAGTTTTAGCTTGTGCACCGCAGCAGTAACTCTTGGTTATGTGGCAAGTGGGGGCTCTTCTCATGCCATGCTAAGGCCTAGAAGTGTGGTGAACGTACTCCCGCCTCGATCTATGATGCCACCTGTTTATAGCATTGCCTATTTGGTGTGCAAGCCCTACTTATAAGTAGCGGTGGATAGTCGGATTGGGTGAAATTTCAGCGACACGTGGTGGCACCTGTTGTCGACATTAGGGTGTAGTGAATTTCAAAAAAGTTTTAATTTTAAGGTCTGAATAGGCTAGAATGATGTTCTGGCGATATCTACGACTACCATATTGAAACCATCAATTCAAAAACCTTGTCCAACCTAAAAGTGGATTGGCATTTTTCTTTAAAGTGCCGAGTCATGGTTAGTTACACTTTATTGTAGTCACATTGTACACTTTCCTCATTTTTTGGTATAAAAGCAACCTTATCTGTCATTACTAATTGAGGTATAAACTTTGTGTAGGTTTAGGTCCCTGGGCCTGATTTCCAAAGAGCTGGGTAAAATATAAATGTGGTATTTTGGGTATTTTGTCCATGTAGAGTCATGTTCCCTTTAAAGTAAATGCACTGTCCCTCCTTCGAATAAACAAACCCAAAGAATCCTACTAATGTTTTGTGGTCTTTAGCTTGGGCAAGTGGCCTTTAGCATTATATTCAAGGATGTACAAAAGCATATCAGTACATGCAATCTACACATGTGCTCTTTAGAAACTAAAACGTAGTTTGCGAAGTAATCATTACTAGTTGTTCTCCTCATGATGGTTCAATTTGCAAAGAGAACCATATCTTCTACAAACTCTGTTATTTACTCCAAAACCGAGCTCTGGTGAAGTGAAATTTTCCCCACAGATAAAATTCTCGATGAGTGATATTTATTTTCAAGTGGCAACTGAAGAGATTGTGATTGGACAGTGTACTGCTACATGTATGAAAACATCCAATGCTGGTGCAGTTGCAAAGAACATCAGAAATGGGTACCAGCAGGGATTAAAATTCAGCCACATGTCTGATGCTGTCAGGTCCTAAATTAAGAAATTCAAGGAGTATGAGCCCAATCTTTAAAAATGTCTAGATATCTGCACATGTAACTATGAAACTTTCCGTCTCCCTGATTGCAGAGACAACTGTACCACAATCCATCATAGAGATAAATGAAAAAAGACTGCAATTGTGTCCATTTAAAATTGGATTGTGGCAAAAATAAGATTGCGGACTAAGAAGCTCAGGTTTTTTGGAAACAAAGAAGAATGAAGAGAGAAAATATAACACCGAATAATGACTCACCAAACAACCCCAAAAGGAACCCGAAAGCATACCATCCGCATGTACTTCACATCAAACAGGCCCTTCATTCTCACCAAGGAGTGAGATGATCGAGACAGAGAGCAGTAAGTAATCCGGTAATATTGAATTTGAGCCCTACCGTTGCGTGAAAATACAGCGTATAAACACAAAAGTAACCCATGTTTGTGACGAGTTTACAGAGCCTGCACAGCTGTGGCAGCTGCTACACTCACTGATTTCAACACTGTATCCAAAGATGACAAGATGGCAACAATTGGCCACCACAAACTGGCAAGGACAAGGAAACATTTTCGATGGTGAAAGTCTGATTGCAAGGAAAAAATCAATAACGTTTACTTTGACAGAAAGAGAAATGCATCTCTTTCTCAAAATAAGGTTGGTAGCAAAGTTTGCCAATTCAAGGTCAGTCATAAAAGACCACTGTGATTGTCGCAGGGCATGGTGTACATCACTTGCAGCTTATTACTCCGAAGTCTGGACATAGAGTAAACTGGCTGGAGATGGCGGGCAGGTGCTCTCTATCACCTTAAAATGTTCCAAAACTAGACCAAAAAATAAAGAACAACCTATACAACTGATGGTCATACTACAGGATTGCAGTCATTTAGTGGATAATTATTTGTAGGAAAAAAAACCCAAAGGAACATCCTGAGCTTTGCAGACAGAAAGTGGAAGGTTCTAGAGCCTACTTTATTTTTAAAACCAAAGAAAATCAGAGGAAACTCCACAGAAAAAATCCAAAAAACAAAACAAAACAGACCTGAAAACCTTTCGAAAAATAAGTCTTTTCACCTTGACTCCAGTTTTGCAGTCAATGCCACAACCTCCAAGGCCGAGGCCAAAACCGAGGCCACGCCCTCCAAGACCAAGGCCATAACCCCGAGGCCGAGGCGAAGGCCAATGCCACAGCTACCAAGGCCGAGGCCAGCTATTGGGATACATCTTAACAACAAATCAAATCCATCAACCTATCAAACCAGGTCAAGATTTTGTTAGATGTATTACTTTTTATTTTGAAGTCAAATGGCTGAATGGCAGGTTACTAATGAGAGCCTTAAAGAAAATGCTCGTTACATCTTAAATACATTAGGATATCCAACATCTCCTGGGAAAACCTTGCACGATGAGGCCGCATGATTAGTCCTCCCCTGCTGAAAATGCGCTCAACTGGAGCGCTGCTGGCTGGCACGGAGAACACATTTTCGGCTAAGGCATGTAGTGATAGGTGCTTGGTCTTTGCTTCCCCGTCTTTCCTCCAGTATGTGACAGCATCAATGCTGTGTCGCTGTTCCTCCCTCGGATACTTTGATAGCTGCATTCTCGCAGTATTGGTCTCATCACTTTGGAGCAACACTTACACATTAGTGCATGTCAAAAGGGCATACATTCAGAGTTGCGGGTCCGTCTATTGTCAGTGCGTCCCCAATCGGATGAGACCTAGACCCAACCCAAGACGGATGATTTGAATGCAGCCTCAGTTAATATCACTGATAAAAAAAGCCTGAAAATTTATATTATATGAGTTTTCCCGCAGTTATGCTCAGCAAAACAGTACTCAGAATAGGTTTCTAAAGAGTTCACACAACACACAAACTCATTGCAATTAGCCGTGGACAATTTTTGTTATAAATAAATGGAGTATTTTATTTCCAGAATCCATGAAAATGTACGCAATTCGTGTTATATTGGAAAATGTGTTGTGTCACTACAAAATTAAGAATTATAAATCTTAAAAAAATTTGCTCTCAGGTAATCACCTTGAGGTGTTCAATGAAACTACTGGCGTTACTTTCGTAGGTCTCAATTATTCCAAAAACTCAGAAGGTTAAAAAAACCAAAAAACATAAAAAGGAAGAAAATCATGCTTGTACAAAGACTACTTTAAAGCTTGAATGCGCTGCGACTATAAAACCTTTTGAACCAAAAGTAAGATAACAAAAGAACGACCCTAACTCATGAATATGTAATGTAAGGTGACAGGGGGTCCAGTACGTGGATACAATAGAAACAACTGAGTGGGCAGCGCGAACATGCGTGGAGCAGCGAACTTAACTTCTAGCAGTCTGTGCACCTCCTTTGCAGACGTTGTACAGGTCATTACAGCTTAATTGCAGTACCGCCAGTAACCAATCAGCGTATCTTGGGTAGTCTAGGTACTAGACGTTGTTATCATTTGGACGTGCGATAATCCCTACACACGATCCGCTAACAGCCTAGCCATGCACGCGATAACAACGTCAAGGTGATCTCCGGGTATTTCCCTTATGTGCGCGCACCTACTCTGCCTAATATAATGCTGAATGCGTTTATATCTTGCAAATTATTCAATTTTGCATATTCATATGTCTGATCCCCGGATGTACTGCGCTGCATGCACGTACAGTAAACAGATATTGAATCATAGTGCATGGTACAGTTTGTGTACATCGTACACTACAGTCATGGAAATGGCCGAACAGTCATCTTTCGATGAGACTGTCAAATTCGCAGCAAAAACGTTGGGTATAGCAAAACTGAGAGATCATCAAATAGCCGCTCTTCGTCAGATAGTGTGCAGTTTGTGCAGTAGTGTGCACATTGCGTATTTGCCATACATCACGTCATGAAGCATCTCGCAGTCGATGCATGATCATCATATAATGAGCAGGCGAGCTTAGGCAAGTCGGATTTCCGTCATGATCATCTGACACATATTGACTTAAAAAGCAGTCTTTTCCGCAGCACCAACAAGGTGCTAATCAGTATTTTCATTTCAACGCAAGGAGTGTTATTTTTACACCTAAGGTGCAGTCACGGAAGTTTCGCTATTCACCATTTTATTTCAGCACTCACTATTCAGCACCCCTACTCGGTAGGAGAAAATGTAACACTACTGGAGTTAACCTTCTTACGTCAGATGCACACACCAGGGTATTCAGCACTTTTGCTTTATGAGTGTGTGCATACGAAATCTACACGAACAATTGTTGGACTGTCGTGCGTTACTGCTTGTTGGAAACCTGTTGTGACTCTCAATACTGTACATGGCATATTCTGCAAATTAAGGGAGCAGCAAAAACATGCCCCAATATGAAGCCTTTTACTTGCAATACGGGTGATCCACAATAGTGTGCCACCAAGAGTTTGTAACACGTTGGCTAATCATAAATCGCAAAATTTGTCGACCCTTTCCAAACGAGCATTGGGTCGACAAATTTCGTGCATTGTGATTGGCAAACGCGTCGCAAACTCTTGATGGTGCACTATTGTGAAAAGGCCGTATTATCAGCGTAAAACCCGCACCAATTACTAACGCGTCTGTAGAGATTTATACACCTGTTTGATACTAAACACACTTTGGTCGTCATGAAGTGTTTCCTACAGAAGCGTATATAGGGCATGAGTAAAAAAAAAACTTTGGGCCTGGCGAAATACTAACCCGCCCGGGCGATATACTATTCCACCAGGGCGAAATAGCAGGAACAAATTCTGGTTTTAGTCATGTCCTTTAGACGCGTCCGTAGTTTCCTCTGGATAAACGTGTTTTTGTGTATTGTTATTAAAACCCAAACGTGTCATTGTGTTTAAATTTATCAACACGCTTTTAAATAGTGACGATTACAGGGTGTTTTGCTGTGGATTTTAACACCACAACGCGCTCACAAGCGGTACCAGGTAGGCGTCTAAAAGACAATAAAACATCAACACTAATCCGTGTTACATTGAAGACTTTTGTTAATTTTATTTGTTCAATTCATTTCTTTGCGTTCGTAAATTTTTTGCTTTGAACAGACCAGAACAGACTCTGAGCTTAAGTATTTTTTTCCCTCTCAGTTCGATGCAAGTCGGGCCAGTTCTTGTGCCAAGAGGATTCCAAGTGCATCCCACTCCAAGCATTCTGTGACGGGGAATTTCACTGCTCAAATCACATAGACGAGGCCGGCAGCTGTGGTGAGTGTTCAACAAAATGACACTGAAAGGAAGAGCACGTGCTGTGCTCGTCCGCTTCATGGGTGTATGGTTTAAATAAAAACTAGAATTTTGGAAAAGAAATTAATGATAACACTGTGTTTAACTTCATTAGTGTTCTTTTCAGTCTTTGTTTAAAGTCAGCTATCGCTTTCGTAATTTGTTATGTTTGATTTTTGTTTTAAATTGTTTTTAATTTTGCTGAATGCTGGTGTCAAATGGGTGGCTCCTCTCAAGGTTAGGCATTGCGTTCTGCTCAAACGTACGTAGTGCGCACCACTCGCTCGCCAAAGTTGTAACATCAAGCACCATCATGGTTGAAGAATGCTTAATAATTTAAGTGAAAGGATGAACAAAATCATTTAATGATTTGACCATTTTGAATTGTGTAAACTTTAGGACCTAAACGGTGTTAATCAATGATAATAAACATGTGCTTGACAGCTCTTAATGTAATACATGTACAGGTTCAGGAGAACGGTCGCAGGCTAGGGCATTAGTGGCATCAGTTACTCGTGAGCCAGCCAGCACGTACCAATTTCCTTATTTCATTGTTTTTCACTTCAACAGACCGTTGCGGTAAATCAGACATCGATGTACAATTTGGTGAAGTACTCACCATCAGCAGCGAGTTTGAGTTCAATCCAGCACCTGGCGGTCCGTACATGACCGGCTACTTTGCGATATACACCGGGGATTCGGGATCCCGGCCCAATACCACTTTGTCTGATAATGTCATTGTGAGCAGCTACACAGAGGGCGTGTCAAGGCTGAGTTGTGTTTGGCGGCTCACGGAACCAGAGGGAACCCGGATCCACATCACAGTGGCAGAATGTTCTGGTGACATGAGGATTAGAAATGGACGTGATACAACTTCTACCCTGACACGAGTCATCAATTCAATCTCGAAACCCCAATTACCAATGGATATTTTATCCATTGATTCTGGGGTGTGGATTACATGGGAAATAGAGCCGTGGGATGATTGGCACTGGCATTACTCGTGGGATCATTGGGATTACTGGGATTACTCTGATTATTCAGAATACCCGGTTTACTTGGAATATGAACACAAAATCAAACTGAAGCTTTTATTCACAGCATACAATATCAGGGGTAAGTTTTGCTTTTCAGTATTCAAAGTTAAGACTAATTTGATATTTTCACATTGACATATTGTGTAAAACCATGGAGGTAGGAAAAGAAACAAACCAGATATCTGGGAAATTGATTAAGGACACTTGCAGCACAAGACTAGTTTTTAGACCCAGCCTCACTTTGGTCCAAAATGCTTATGAATGTCAATCCCAAGCAAACAAATTATAAGATATGACTGGGTAATATGGGTCTGTTCATCTGGTCATCTGTTCGTCTGAAACAACCAACCAACCAACAGAACCATACCGTAGAGGCGGCGCACTTATGCAAATCTACCAACAACTCTCTGATGATATGAGGATTGTTGGCATCAGCCTCAATCAGTTACAACAATCCACTTCGAACGAACAATGGAAACGGACAATTAATTATATTAACCACTGAGCAACGCCCGTGCGCTGGCGTCACCATGATGGTGATGATGATTATCTTATTAGAAATGAATTGTCGTTTGATTAAATAAAAATCACACTAAACAGACTGCGGTTTCAACCCTGTGCAATGCAAGGAGCAGGTCGTGTGGTACGTTACGAATACAATGTACAAAGTCGGACGTCTGTCGGCACAGGTACCGTGAAGGCAATATGTAACAATGTACCCAAGGCACCGTTAAGGTGTTAGAATTTGCTATTTTACGTCTGTCTTTGAAATTGACCATTATTCCAAATATATGGAGTCTACCTGCAAGAATCCTCAGAAACATTTTCGTTGACCAAGGTGTTAGACTTATTTTGCTGTCAATATGATATTTGACCCGCTGATGTAAAAACAATCGCCAACATTGGTAGGCTGGTTGTTCCTTTAACGTAATTACCCACCAAATCGGGCTGGTGTCCTGGCGTTTGAAAAGAAACGTCATAGCTTGATTCTTTTTAAATATAGATATTAATTGTATTATTTTTCTTTTGAATCAAGGGAGCTAAAATGAAATCTTTCTTGTCGATACTTTAGTACATCTTGAACTGATATTCTGTTCGAACAATTTGACAGAATGGTACACTTTCGACAAATTACTCCATGATCAGTGGTGTTACAAGTTCTTAATTTTTAGAGCTGAGTCAATTCTAATGATTCACTATTCGAATATTCGTCCAGCAATTTGATCGAGTATCCGAATATTCGGTCACACCGACCAGTAGATTGTTGATGAACAAACCATACAAATCAGCTGCAATGACGCACACAATTGTACATTATAATCACTATAATAGCTTCTTACGTGTGGGAGTATCTCCAGCCATGATTAAGCAAGATTTAGAGACAAACAATATTTATTGTCCTGTTGAAAATGTCTGTTTCTTTCATTTTTTAAAGTTAATATTTATTTTGAAATCATTGTAAGATATCCCACGCTTTTAATTTGAATCAGCTTGAAACAAGTCTCCATAGTACAATTTTTCTCATTTAAAACTAAAGAAAAATTTCCCATCCTTTCCTGACTTTTGCATTCGAATATTCAAATTCGAAAAATAATATTCGAATATTCGATGGAGTATTCGACAATCGAGCGAATATTCGGTTATTCAGATATTTGGCATAGCCCTAGTAAGTTCGCAACCGTACGTCAAATAGTCTGAAGTCCGAACATCTTAACAAGGAACAAGTACAGTTTTCCTCAAAACATGAAAATTCGGGGAAAAAAATTCTGTTTAAATTTCAGAAGTGGAATCTCCACTTTTTATTTGACTTTGTCATTTAACATACCCTGTCAGAGTCGTTATCTTGAACAAATGATGAGATCAAATTAATTTGCCAATGACAATTAACTGAATCATGTGATATCATCTACCGGAAATCTTATTAGCCTATCGCCTGGTATTTCCCACTCAAAACAATGGTAAAAAAAGTCCCGTTTGTCGAGATTTTGTGCACACTGTGAGATACTGCGAATTGCACACTTTAATATATTGTTTTTGTAGAGTGTGAGGAGGGTCAGTTTTCTTGTCCATCTGGTTTGGACTGCCTTGATGACACCTCCAAGGTTTGTGACGGACGCAAGGAGTGCACTGCATACGGGGATGAAATAAATTGCGGTATGCATCTTTGAATTTACTAACCCAATAGCACTTAAGGGCGCATTATATGATCTTGAGATGCACTACCCCACATTGATTGAAAAGAGCCTTAATAGTGGGGAGTGTTCATTTTATTGGTAGTGATGCAATGGCAAGACATGTATTTCATATACGTCGTTCGTGAATCACCGCAGCGCAGGTCCCACCAAAAGAACCTTCATAGCAAGAAAACTTCGCCATATCACGCGTATAGACCCCTAGACCTCCGTCATACTCTTGCGGTTCAGACAGTCTTTCCTTAATTCAGAGCTGTCAGTCACGTTCGCGGGCCTGTAGGCCCATGAGACTTACTGCGCGAAAAAGTTATCAATAGGCCTACACGTGATGATATTGTGGTAAATGCAACTGACACCTCTCGTGGTGGACCCAGTAACTGGCCGGATCAGGGATGGAATTGACCTGGCCCAACCCCACAAATATATTTATTAACCTTGAGCAAGGATGAGCGGCTACCCTGACACAAGGGGGGGTATCAGTTAACGAACGGCGGACTAAGCCTAGGGGCAGTTCGTTGGGTGGAAGTTTACCACCAATTAGGAAAGACTGGATTTATCTGGCAATACAGTAATGAAGCAC